TTTGGGGTTGGGCTTATATATGTTAGAGGATGGGCATGGTTTACAGTGAGCTTTCAAGCACCGGAAACAAGTCGGAAATGGTACAAGCATAAGATTGAATAGGAAGATTGAAATGGGAAACTAAGGGTTTAAGCAGAAGAATGGAAATTAGCTTGATAAGATAACAGCTAACGTGTAAAAAAGGGGCAACTTAAGGAATGTAGACATGTCGGAAATGTTCCATGGTTTCATCCGCATTAAGATACAATGTAGATGAGAAATTTATCTCACTATTAATTTGAGATTTCGTTTTCACGACAGTTTGGTTTAAAATCTCATAAAATATATTAATCTTCTAACTAAAACTTCTTCCATTCATCGCAAAGTACCAATTTGTGTTTGAAATATGTTTTGTAATGTTTTGCATATGAAAAGCAGTTTAGCATGAAGATGCAAAATAAATTGCACTTGAAATGTAATTATCTCTTTGATACGAAAAATTTTACATTTCCAATTTTAATGAATGACATCAAGTCCAACCAAATTTAATCATTTCATTAAAATTCATGGAATGATTTTAAAAAAAGAAATTAACAGTTACACACAAAATTTGTTATATGAAACAAAATTTTTTAAATATTAAATCTGAATTTTTTCCATGAAAAATTTCTCTTATAAAATTATTCAAAACTTTTTAGATGTTATTATTTGTTTGAAATATTTTGCATGAAACATTTCAACACTCACTTTTGCGCCAATTTTATATGGTGAATGAGCGAAATTAATCTTTTTGTTACCAAAATTTTATTCATATTAATCAAATTAAGTTCAAAAACAACAACAGGAATAGATTTTGATTATTACCATATGGAAATTTCGTTTTCCAAAATTCAATTCTTTCTTTTCTCACGTACGCTAAACGGAACTTTATGTGAGGATTGTTTCAAATTATTTCTTCCATGCCGAAGTTGGTTAACATAAACGATAACAAATATTATTGATAGAATCGTAAACATTACTAAAATTGCAATAATTTAATAGTATTAAGAAGTATTGATTTACTATTTTGTAGGTTTAGTCAGAGAACGTCATAGGTAACGAAAGGACGCTAAAATTTAAGAATGTTAAAATACGCATGAATTTAATTTTTCTCTTCCCTTTATCCGTTTTTAAATATTTCTATTAACATTTGAATTTCTTAATTTATCCTGCAAACTAAATTATCTTTAAATTTTGCTCGTTGCTAATTATTTTCAGTCATCAAATTTTCAAAACAAATTGAAATTTTTTTCCCTAAAAACTAACAAAGAATAATAACAGTCCATGTTGTCGTCATTGGATCATCTATGTCTGGCCTGAAATTTTACTTAATTTACAATTAGGCAAAATTAGAGATCTATTTGAAAAGTAACATAAATATTGAAGTACTAAATGAAAAAGTTATTTGTGAAAAAACGGATAAGATAAATAACTAATAAGATAATTTTATGATACCTCACAAATTTAAGTATGATTTTGCAAAATGTTTCGCTACCATCTTCACTCAAAGTTGCCTTTCCAACATATGGCCATCGAGTATCATCCTTACGGGCACCTTAAAATTGAAATGGATAATAGCATGCGTGCATGCATATGTGTGTGTTTATTTTGTATTGAAAATAAATTTTAAAATTTTTCAAAATTTTTTTGCAACAATTAAGTACGATCACAAAATTATTGATTTTGACAATTATTGTCGTCCTAAACTGATATTGCGACTGAAGTGTTAATTTTAGTAATTGAAAGTAATCGAATATAAATTATAAATTAAGAAGGAGATAAATAAATATCTAAAACGAATGTGGTAATTTAATGTATGCGTATGTGTGCGAACTTGTACGTGTGAATGTATTCATATGTTAGTAGGTTTATTGTATGTTTATGTATTAGCATGTTTATGTACGTACGTACGTCAGTTTATGTAAAGTATGTGTATGTATGAATGGTTTATTTGTTCATAATCATTATTAACTTGTATTATTTTATACTAACCTTAGATAACATTTTTTTCCTTTGTAAATATATTTCTTTCTTGTAAATAAAAATTTTTTTTCTCATTTTTTAAAAATTTATCTTAAGAAATTGAACCATTTAAGTGATATTTAATTTTAGCCTTTCAAATTTACATTTATATCAGTAATTTACATAGAATTTCAATTTCGAAAATATGAAAAATAATAAAAATAGGAATAAAAAAGCAAAGCACTGTATTTATGTAAAGAATTCAATAGTAATACTGTAAAGCGAAAAAAGCCTTATATGATACCAATGATCAGAAGGTCTTTTTTATTCGGTGCAACAGCAACACGTTGTAATGAGCACGGTAATTGATGATTGTAATCTGGAATCTGATAAGATCCTGTTTTCCAAATCACCTGAAATGATCAAAATTTATTAACAAGAAATCATCAAATACCTTTTCACTGTTATTTTTCTTTCTTTAAATTTTCAATTTTTTTTTCCTTTTTTGTTTATTTATCGTTTTTACAAGAAATTATAGCAATAAAAGAAAAAAAACTGAGGAAAAAGAGCAAATAGATGTAGTAATTGAATGTTAGGATATTAAAAATGCGAAAATTCGATCTTAAAGTCGTTGTTTGAATGCGTCATCATTTCAAGTATGGTCGATAAGAAAAAATACGGAATAATCTTAATCGAGCATATGGAATAAAAATACGGAATAATCTAATTTAATCGAAAATTGATTGATTATATAAGTACTTTGGTGACTGCTCCAAAAATTGTTTTATTGATACGAATTAAATAATTATAGCCAAGTTTTAATGTTCCGTAATTTTCAAGAGCATTTATACTGATTTCTTCGGCAGCTAATTCCGTATTGCACCCACCAAATTTATTTTTAAATGGTTTGGCAATTTTCATTGGGCGCATTTTACCGCTAATAATTCGCATCTGTAAATTATTCAGAGTGTACTAGCAAACTTAGACAAAAAGTTCATAATTTACTTTCAGAATTATTTCTTGCAACATTTCTTTTTTAATTATAAATTAATTTTTTACGGTAATTTACAAATATATGTTTGATCTTTACAATATTATTGCTTTACTGCACTTTCTTTTATTATTTTAGATATTACATAGAGTTTCTATTAATTAATCTATAGGTAGCAATTAGCTAAATCTAACAACTCTTTTTCGCTTACTTGTTGGGCATCTTGGCGACACTTTTCGAGAACGTCACAATCCATTTTTTGTTCTGAATCGTCGCAATTCTCTGATTCAACAAATAATCCCAAGCGACCTTTCATTTTTTTTACCGCATCGTTTTTGCCTAACATCTGTAATTTAAACCAATTTTTTATTTTTGCAAAATAGAAGATTTCTGTTAGCATATTTAATTTAAAAATTAAAATATCATAAAAATTGCAGCCAAAAGATTATGGTGATATCAGTGGTAGAACAAAGGAATTAGTTATTTGGAACATTTCAATAATCTCATTTTAATTATTTAAGTTTTCAATTTTGGAAAAAATCTCTGTTTTTCTTATCAATTTGCACTATTTGATATTAGTTCACCAATCTATTAAAAACATAAATCCTAACACTCATTTTATAAATTTCATAAAAAAATTTTTAATTACTGATAAACTTTTAAATCTAATTCACATACAAAAAGTTAAATAAGATAATCATGTATTTCTATATGTTTCATAATGAATGGTGTTGTGCTACGACTATAACATTTCATGTAAATTATTTCTAGAACGTCTTCAACCAATTACGCTTATTGCGATACATTTACAAAAATGATACCTGATCAAGTAGATGATGTCGTAATTTCCTCCAATAAGCATCAGTGATTATTAAGGTAGAATGGAGAGGAATACCGAGAGTGAAGTATGGCTCTGAACTAAGGTATTTGTCAAATGTCATTATCACCTCGTTCATGTAATCGATATGATCCGAAACATTCAATGAAACATTTAACTGTGATAATTTAATTCATTAGAATATGCGATTGTGATTTTATTTTCTTATAGATCACTTTTATAGATTTTTTTGGAAATTCACTTAGTTAACCTGTTTATTATTATTTGTATTTTTCACATAATAATTGAATAATGAAATTGTAAAATTAGGTATCTATTTTAAAAAACCAAATTACATTACAGTTTTTGTTTCTGAAAATAAAAAAAGGTATAAATTTTTGTATTAATTTGTAGTTTTAAAATTAATTGTGTGAAAATGCAATGATTACCTTTTTCAGTGGATCGATTTTAAAAAATGACATGTAAGCTAAGCGAGAACGGTAACTTTCCAATTTTCTGCTACAAAAAAAATTTGTTTTTCAAAAATTAGGAAGGAAAAAAGTGAATTTTAAGCTGCTAAATGCAATATTTTTGTAAATATTTTTGTGAAAATAATTGATTTCTCCATTCGGTCTTTTATAACAAATCAATTCAATGATTTCTCTTTAATTCTTCCCAACTTTAATAATAGTCAAATTCGTATTCTCATCAGAAAGAGTAATGAAAGGATAAAGGTTATCAAATGTAGTTAGCAAAAGCTTTATCATTTAAATTAAAAGTCATAAATTACAAGCACAAAACTAAAAAAATTTCAAAATCACTATTTATGCTGCGCTTTTTATTTAATAATTCTTTGCCAGTTTTTTTTTTTTGGAAGAGGTTAAAATGAGATTACAAATTACAATACCATTCATCCTTGTCGAGAGCAAATTCTCGACGGCAAACTTTCTTGGTACAACAACATGCCGTACAACAAGACCATTGTTCATAACCGATATCAATTTTCAAATTATATTCTGATTTTATGATCGGATGAAAATTTGTTGGTATTGGTTGATAGTCACGAATACGATAACGATAATCCATTTTACCGTAATCATCTTGGCGACGCTACCAACATTTTGCAATTTCACTTTTTTTCTTTAGATTTAAATAATATTCACCAGTTTTTTTCCTGCTCCTTTTTTACACAAAACATTGAATTTATCAATCACTTATCAGCAACACAGATCGGATAGCGTGTGATGCAACAAGATTACTGAGATTATTTGACACGTAATCGTTATGTTTTCGTGATATTTTAATTTAAGATACCGAAAATAAACACGAAGGATAATCTAATATATTGGAAATGAATAGATATGAAGATATCGAAACAGATACCCGATAGGAACAGGAAAGAGAATCTAATTTAAAAAATAACCGCTGAAATCTTTTCTTTTGTTAATTTGATGGTTCATTAATAATTTGTTAAAAATTGTTTTTTTGATAAAATTTTGCAGAAACCTCTTGAAAAGAATGATACTTTGTTGTACATTCCTGTTTTTGTAGTTCGGAAAAATGCGTGCTAAACAAGCATTCCGGTTTTTCATCAATCGGATCTTCAACAAGCGTATCCACGTTAACTATGACATCCGTTTCGATTAATGTACCATCTACTTGCTAAATTACAATAAATGACATAAAATTAAAGAAGAAAAAAATTCCATTAAATTGTTTTAAAAAAAGTTTTAATTAAATTTTGAAAAACGAATGAATGAAAATATCATGATGTGATAAGATCATATCACACTATAATGAATAGTAGTAAAATGAAAACCTGTGCACAAATAATAGTCATACTATTAAAATGTGGATAGTATTGTCGAAGACGTCCAGGATCCGGATTAATCCGTAAACGACCATCCGGAACTGGTAACGCTACTTCTAAGTCATTCCTTTAAATCAGTTTAATCTTTCATTTTTTGTTTATTTTTTGAATGCTACTAAAATACAATATGGAGATTTCAAAAATTAATTCATCTAATAAATATTTTTATTCTTTTAATATAACATTTTCTTTTTTTTACTTACCCACTAACAACCATTCGATCCCACCAACGATCAGCAAGAAATGGACCGCGAAATACTGTCCGTTTATCTTCATCGTTTGGATCCGTAAATTCTATAAATTATTTGCTAAATGAAAAATTAATTAACATGATTGAATATTCATAACCAAATGATTCATTTTGAAAAATAAATTCAAGTATAACAATTAAGCAAATTTTCGAACCAAACAAATGAGAAAAAATCATACGTAAATAATCAATAATTAATAAGTAA